AGTTCCCGCAAGTGGTGACTGAAATCAGGGAAAGTATTACGAAATACTTGAAACGTTTGGAGCGAGTAAAAATTATGGCCAACATACTGTGGCCATAATTAGTAAATTATATTTATAATAATTAGTATATTTCCTAATTTAATATATCTTAAAGCGATGAACGATAAAAATGATCAATCAATCAATAAATCACTAAAAATGTGTGCTATTAATAAATTGACAACAATTGACATAAGAGATAAACTATGAAACTAATGAAGTAGTAATTAATACTATTGCTAGATTCCAGTGTTAGTGAATATTAATGTGTAATACACAAGTTATTATATAATCACATACTTGTGCCGTACCTGTAGGTGATTACCTGTACTGATATAACTGCGGTAATATCAGCGCATGATTTTTATAGACATGGAAACTATTACCAATTTTTTCCAAACATTTATTTCATATTTTCAGTGAAATCTTGTCGTTACTGATTATTTGATATTTTCATAGTTTATAGCCCTAACCTTGTTCATAATATTACCTTAATGATTGTAATGTAATACGGTTATCAAGTTTAAACGCCAGTGCTACTTTATTTATCAAGTTTAATTATTTAGTATTTTAATTAAGTAATTAGTAAACAATGAGTGAAATGTATAGTAAAGATTCATTTGATAGATTTGGTGACGATTTATGTAAAGTCCTATTGAGTTACCTATCACTCGAAGACCGGTTCCGATGTGAATGTGTGTCCAAACAGTCAATGAGATTGATATTCATCACACAAACAGAACTCATAATAACAGACAGAATGTATACTCAACTAAAAATGTACGCAAAGTCTATCGGAACGCAAAAATTTGACCGAAAACTTCAAAAATGCCAAAATATTACATCCATTGAAGTCACGAAACATAAGCTGACATCAGATATGTTGGACTCAATTGTGAAACATTGCAACCGATTGACTGAAGTTAACGTTAAACTCGACAGAAATATAAGTGTCGATACAATCGATTACATCCATTGAAGTCACGAAACATAAGCTGACATCAGATATGTTGGACTCAATTGTGAAACATTGCAACCGATTGACTGAAGTTAACGTTAAACTCGACAGAAATATAAGTGTCGATACAATCGACAGGTTTTTCGCGAAGTTTGCCAAACAGTTGACACGACTTGAGTTGACAGATATGCCGGCATTCATGCGAAAGAATTTGAGGTCATATGGGAATCGGTGCCACAATTTGAATCAATTAATCAATTCCAATGGTGACTACGAGTACCACACGTTGTTTGACTTACTTACTGATGATAATGAAGTAAATCCTCGAAAAGTGAAAAGCTTTTACCTAAATTATAGCAATTCGGGTTCACTTTTGGTCGACTTTTTTGTTAATAATAGTAAAAATACGTTAAAATCTTTATCCGTTTGGATCGATCAATACTGTGATGTAAAAGCACTCAATATACTAATCAGTGGTTTGTCGCAAATGTCGGCATTAATTGAATTAAAACTTATGTATTATTACTGTTACGGAGAATTGATTGCATTAATACCCCAACAGTTGAGACAATTATCTCAAGGATTGCCTAAACTTAAAGGTTTTTCATTACCTTATGACGTTAAGGTTGTTGAGGAGGAGGAGGAATGGCGAGTTGTGACTGAAATCAGTGAAAGTATTACGAAATACTTGAAACATATAAAGCGTTTGGAAATTAGCGGTCATTTCTGCCAATCAATCGTTGCTTTCAAACGGTTAACACATTTAACACTCGATTCGCAAGTATTTCCGCCAAACGACCACTTTTTCGAAGATATGGCCACAAATGTGCCAAACATTCAGTCATTGAAAGTGGAAAATGTTGTCATCACTGATGGGGTATTGGATTCATTGGCAAGGCTTAGGAAAATACAAACCATTGAATTGATTGATAAGAACCAAAGGTTTCAGGATAAGTGTTTCGAGGATTTTATTGGAAAATGTGCTAAAATTAAATCACTTGTTATAAACGGAAAGCAAATCCTGATATTAAAGTGATTTACAACATATCTACTGCGAAAATGAGCCAGATTATAATTCATTCATATTTGTGAAGAACCTTGATCATTGATTATATGAAAATAATTTAAACAATATACTTTACAGTATATATAATATTAAACTAAAGTATTTTATTTGTATCTTGTTAAAGTAATAATATGTTATGAGCATAACTAATGTTAAAATCTCGATCAAAAACTCCATAGGATTTCCCTCATTGAAACTGTTCACTCAAATCTCACATAAGGGTTCATAGGATAGGCATTTTGCAAATTAATTAACGAGTTTTTTGAACACTGTTTGCCNCCTCATTGAAACTGTTCACTCAAATCTCACATAAGGGTTCATAGGATAGGCATTTTGCAAATTAATTAACGAGTTTTTTGAACACTGTTTGCCACCTATTGTTTAGTATTATTTGCCAGTATTTAGTAAATTAAATTGACTGCATGTGTGCTCATCGGAGTAATTTATATTCCCATAGAAACTGTTATCAATTGTTGATTACATACCGTATATGAAATTTTACTGTTATTTTACGTTTGTATTACATTACAAGGGCGTTAGTATACGAATAGATAACTAATTTGTGTTATATTTATGTTTAACACATTTAAGATTTTAATTGTATCCAGCGAAGTTTATTGAATAATATTAGAAACTTTACGAAAACTTCTAATTAATGTCTCAAACCTATTGACAGTAACAGTAAGTCATTGAAAATAATTGAAATTTAATTTGTATTCAACACTCAATTCATGCCATAAATTATCATTCAATTGATAGCAAAGTATTGTCTCATAAGTGGTGAGAGGAATGACCGCAAGAAGTAGTCATACAATGAATGCACAGAAAGTCTATCCGAAAGACTCTTTGGACAGATTTGGCGATGATTTATGTGAAGTCCTATTGAGTTACCTATCATTTGAGGACCGATTTAGATATGAATGTCTGTCCAAACAGTCCAAGAGATGTATATTCACGACACAATCGGAACTCATAATAACGCCTAAACTATACACTCAACTAAAACTGTCTGTAAAGCCTATGGGAACGCATATATTGGACACAACATTTGAAAAGTGCCAAAACATTGCATACGTTGAATGCAAGGCTATTAGCCTGATGGCATATATGGTGGACTCAATCGTCAAACACTGCCACCGATTGACGGCTATTAACGTCAGACTTCACCACAAATTAAGTGTCAAAATAATTGACAAATTTTTTGATAAGTTTGCCAAACAGTTGACACGAATAGAGTTGAGAGAAATGCCAAAGTTTTTGACTTCAAATCTCAAGTCATATGAGAATCGGTGCCCAAACTTAAGGAAATTAATTAATTGTATCCCTGGTTTCGAGGGCTATCAGCCCATCGAGTATTTATTTACTGATAGCACCGGTGGTACTGAAGTCAAAATGCCCAGGTTGAAACTATATCGCCTACGGTATTATAAAGTAGGCTACGAATACGTGGACACATTTGTCGCGTGTTTTAAACATACTTTGAAGTCATTATACGTTTGGATTGATAGGGACTGCGACCAGAAGTCGTTTAATAGACTAATCGCTGGTTTGTCGCAAATGTGGGCATTAAATGAGTTAATCCTTTGGTGCTATCAATGCGATACAGATTTGGTGGCATCACTACCGCAACATTTGCCGCAACTGTCTCATGGGTTGCCTAAACTTAAAAGCCTTGAATTGTTTTATTACGAGTCAGACGAGAGAGTGGACACTAAGATCTGGGAAAGTCTTAGGAAATGTATGAAACGTGTGAAGAGATTGAAAATTAATGACAAGGATTTCGTTTAAATATGTATTTTAATAAACATGTATTATTTTTACTATATAATATGACATACATTTGTGAAATGTGTTCAAGAAATGTGTAAGCCTAAAACCATTTAAAGCTTTTTGCTATGTAGCGTTTACTGTATATGAAATATTTATTAAACTTCTAAAATATCATACTTTTATAATGAATAAATTGAATAAAAGTATGATAGAAGTTTAATAAATATTTCATATACAGTAAACGCTACATAGCAAAAACCTTTAAATGGTTTTAGGCTTACACAAATTAGCATTGTTATCATTGTTTGTGATAAAGGAAATGGTTTCGTCACCTGTTTTAGGTTTTAATTAACTAATTGTTTATAATTTAATGTATTTTATTGTAATAACTATTTTAAGAGGAGATTTGTTTCCCTACCCTTCCCAACATGTGCTCTAATACTGTATATTCGGTGTGTTCTCGCATAGCACACCTCAGTCCCGTATAAGTTCCCAAATGAGACACTTGTTGTAAGCAAAAAGAAAATAATTTATAATCTGTTTTAATGTTGAATAAAACATAGTTTGTATTTTGTTTAAATCAAGTCTATTATTATTGCATAAACTGATGTAACTATTGGTTCACAACTCGAGAGCACACTGTCAAGTGTCGAGAGTTATATCATTCAAAGCCTGTGTTCTGTTACATAACTCCTATTTCTCTGATTATCGCTACGAAACCCACAGACAATAGTTATTCCCCCAAAGAGTTTGGCACTATTATCGGTACATGTCTACTCGGATTCAATAAACGGGCATACATGATTTATATTCCCATAGAAACTGTTATCAATTGTTTATTACATATCGTAAATGAAATATTGATATTATTTTACTTTTGTATTACATTACCTAGATACAGAATAAATGACTAATTTGTGTTATATTTATGTGTAACACATTTAAGATTTTAATTGTATCCAGTGAAGTTCATTGAATAATATTAGAAAATTTACGGAAACTTCTAAATAATGTCTCAACCCTATTGACAGTAACAGTAAGTCATTGAAAATAATTGAATTTAATTTGTATTCAACACTCAATTCATGCCATAAGTTATGTTTCAATTGATAGCAAAGTATTGTCTCATAAGTGGTGAGAGAAATGGGCGCAAGAAGTAGTCATACAATGAATGCACAGAAAGTCTATCCGAAAGACTCTTTGGACAGATTTGGTGATGATTTATATGAACTCCTATTGAGTTACCTATCATTTAAGGACCGATTCCGATGTGAATGTGTGTCCAAACAGTCCAAGAGATGTATATTCACGACACAATCGGAACTCATAATAACGCCTAAACTATACACTCAACTAAAAATGTTTGTAAAATATATGGGAACGCGTACACATTGGAGTGTATTGGACGTAACACTTGAAAAGTGCCAAAACATTGCATACATTGAATGCAATGATAAAAAACTGACGGCAGATATGTTGGACTCAATTGTCGACCACTGCCACCGATTGACGGCTATTAACGTCAGACTTGACCGCAAATTAAGTGTCGATAGAATCGACAGGTTTTTCGCGAAGTTTGCCAAACAGTTGACACGAATAGAGTTGAGAGAAATGCCAAAGTTTTTGACTTCAAATCTCAAGTCATATGAGAATTGGTGCCCAAACTTAAGGCAATTAATTAATTGTATCCCTGGTTTCGAGGGCTATCAGCCCATCGAGTATTTATTTACTGATAGCACCGGTTGTATGGAAGGCAAAATGCCCAGGTTGAAACTATATCGCCTACAGTATCGTAAAATAGGCTCCGAATATGTGGACACATTTGTCGCGTGTTTTAAACACACTTTGAAGTCATTATACGTTTGGATTGATAGGGACTGCGACCAGAAGTCGTTTAATAGACTAATCGCTGGTTTGTCGCAAATGTGGGCATTAAATGAGTTAATCCTTTGGTGCTATCAATGCGATGGAGATTTGGTGGCATCACTACCGCAACATTTGCCGCAATTATCTCATGGGTTGCCTAAACTTAAAAGCCTTGAATTGTTTTATTACGAGTCGGACGAGGGGGTGGACACTAAAATGAGACAAAGTATTAGGAAATGCATGAAACGTGTGGAGCGAGTAAAAATTAATGACCAGCACAAACTGTGGCCATAATTAGTAAATTATATTTATAATAATTAGTATATTTCCTAATTTAATATATCTTAAAGCGATGAACGATAAAAATGCTATAAATCAATAAATCAATAAAAATGTGTGCTATTAATAAATTGACAACAATTGACATAAGAGATAAACTATGAAACTAATGAAGTAGTAATTAATACTATTGCTAGATTCCAGTGTTAGTGAATATTAATGTGTAATACACAAGTTATTATATAATCACATACTTGTGCCGTACCTGTAGGTGATTACCTGTACTGACTGTGATATAACTATATAAGACATGCAAACTATTACCAATTTTTTCCAAACATTTATTTCATATTTTCAGTGAAATCATGTCGTTACTAATTATTTGATATTTTCATAGTTCATAGCCCTAACCTTGTTCATAATATTACCGTAATGATTGTAATGTAATACGGTTATCAAGTTTAAACGCCAGTGCTACTTTATTTATCAAGTTTAATTATTTAGTATTTTAATTAAGTAATTAGTAAACAATGAGTGAAATGTATAGTAAAGACTCTTTGGACCGTTTTGGTGATGATTTATATGAAGTCTTATTGAGTTACCTATCATTTGAGGACCGATTTAGATATGAATGTCTGTCCAAACAGTCCAAGAGATTGATATTCACCACACAAACGGAACTCATAATAATGGACAGAATGCATACTCAACTAAAATTGTACGTAAAGTCTATCGGAACACAAATATTTGACCATTGGATACAGGTACCTGAATCCAATGGTAACTACGAGTATTGGATTCATTGGTAATGCTTAGGAAATTACAAACTATTGAATTGATTGATAAGAAACAAAAGTTTCAGGATAAGTATTTCGAGGATTTTATGGGAAGATGTGCTAAAATTAAATCAATTGTCATAAACGGAAAGCAAATCCTAATATTAAAGTGAATTACAGCATATCTACTGCAAAAATGAATCAGGTTATAATTTATTCATATTTACTGAAGAACCTTGATCATTGATTATATGAAAATAATTTTAACAATATACTGTATTAATATACTGTCTTATATATATATATAATATAAAACAAAATCATTTTATTTGTATCTTATTAAAGTTATAATAATATTATGTTATAAGTTATAATAAGTTATAACTAATGTTAAAATCTCATCAAGCACCCCATAGGATTCTCTCATTGAAATCTCACATAAGGGTTCATACGATAGGCATTTTGCAAATTAATTAACGAGATTATTGGACACTGTTTGCCAACTATTGTTTAGTATTGTAGGAATTATTTGCCGGTATTTAGTGAATTAAATTGACTGCATGTGCTTGCTTATCGGAGTAATTTTATGCCCATAGAAACTGTTATGAATTGTTGATTACATATCGTAAATGAAATATTACTGTTATTTTACGTTTGTATTACATTACTAGAGCGTTCATATATGAATAAATAACTAATTTATGCTATATTTATGTTTAACAGGGTTAAATTTAAGTTTTTAATTGTATCCAGGGAAGTTTATTGAATAATATTAGAAACTTTACGAAAACTTCTAATTAATGTCTTAAACCTATTGACAGTAACAGTAAGTCATTGAAAATAATTGAAATTAAATTTGTATTCAACACTCAATTCATGCCATAAATTATCATTCAATTGATAGCAAAATATTGTCGCATAAAAGGCGAGGAATGGCCGCAAGAAGTAGTCATACAATGAATGCACAGAAAGTCTATCCGAAAGACTCTTTGGACAGATTTGGTGATGATTTATATGAACTCCTATTGAGTTACCTATCATTTGAGGACCGATTCAGATATGAATGTCTGTCCAAACAGTCCAAGAGATGTATATTCACGACACAATCGGAACTCATAATAACGCGTGAACTATACCCTCAACTAGAACTGTCTGTAGAGCCTATGAGAACGCATACATTGGAACTCATAATAACGCCCGAACTATACACTGAACTAAAAATGTCTGTAAAGTGTCTGGGAAGTCTAGCAAGGCACGGGAGTGTATTGGACGTAACACTTGAAAAGTGCCAAAACATTGCATACATTGAATGCAATGATAAAAAACTGACGGAAGATATGGTGGACTCAATCGTCAAACACTGCCACCGATTGACGGCTATTAACGTCAGACTTCACGACACATTAAGTGTCAAAATAATTGACAAATTTTTTGATAAGTTTGCCAAACAGTTGACACGAATAGAGTTGAGAAATTTGCCACAGTTTTTGACTATAAATCTCAAGTCATATGAGAATCGGTGCCCAAACTTAAGGCAATTAATCAATTGTATCCCTGGTTGTAATCAATTTCATAAATGGGATAGCTATAATCGTATTATATGCTATAGGCGCATAGAGTACTTATTTGCTGATAGCACCGGTAGTGCTGAAGTCAAAATGCCCAGGTTGAGTCTATATCTCCTAAAGTATCATAAAATAGACTACGAATATGTGGACACATTTGTCGCGTGTTTTAAACACACTTTGAAGTCATTAAACGTTTGGATCGATCGGGACTGCGACCGGAAGTCGTTTAATAGACTAATCGCTGGTTTGTCGCAAATGTGGGCATTAAATGAGTTAATCCTTCGGTGCTATCAATGCGATGCAGATTTGGTGGCATCACTACCGCAACATTTGCCGCAACTGTCTCATGGGTTGCCTAAACTTAAATGTTTTGAATTGGTTTATAATTATCATGAGACGGACCCGGGAGTGGACACTAAAATCAGGCAAAGTATTGGGAAATGTATGAAACGTGTGAAGAGATTGAAAATTAATGAATCCGATTAAATATGTATTTTAATATACGTATGATTTTTATTATATAAAATGACATACATTTGTGAAGTGTGTTCAAGAAATGAACATTGTAATCATTAAGTATTCATATTCAATAAAACATACACGTTTAATTCAAATTATAAAAATTATTATCAATTTATTGTAATTGTACTTGTTCAGTATTTTCTCAGGTAGCTTGGAATAGTTTATTTGGTATTACCACTATTTGTTTTGCAACCATAAATGCTAGTAAAATGTTATTATAAAGTTTATACAATGATTTAATTATATTACAAATACCTGTACTGACATACCTGTGCTTATGTCAGCGCATGTTTAACACATTGAACAACAGTTCCTATTGTTATATAAAGTATTGCATATTGTGGTGAAATAGCGAAACACTTTCCGACATTAATCTCATAATATTACACAATATTATTGTTATTATTGTTTGTTATTTATAGTCATTTGAAATATTATCTAGCTTAGTTAAAATTAGAAATTGTTATTAAATTCGTGTATTTTTAAGATATAATTTTGAATTACGAGTGAAATGCATAGTAAAGACTCATTTGACAGATTTGGTGACGATTTATGTGAAGTCCTGTTGAGTTACCTATCACTCGAAGACCGGTTCCGATGTGAATGTCTGTCCAAACAGTGGCAGCGATTGATATACACCACACAATCGGAGCTCATAATAACGGATCATATTTATAGGCAATTAAAACTTTACTTAAAGTCTATCGGAACTAAAATATTGGATACAATACTTGAAAAATGCCAAAACATTACATCAATTGTATTGAACGGAGAGAAACACAAACTCACGACTGATTTGTTGGACTCAATCATCAAACACAGCAACCGATTGACGGCTATTAACGCCGGACTTCATAAAAATATAAGTATCGATACAATTGACAAGTTTTTCGCAAAGTTTTCAAAACAATTGATACGAATTAAGTTGAAAAATGTGCCGGATACTATGATTAACAAAATGAATACATATGAAAGTGAATGCCACAATTTGCGGCAAATAAATAGTTTCAACGGCTATGAAGTTATAAATAAATTATTTAATAACAGCAATGAAGCAAACTTTAAAAAATTAAAATCATTGCATTTTATATACTACAAGTCGGACACAATGAGCTTGCTAATTAATAATTACAAAAACACTATCAAATCACTGGACGTCGTGATAGACGAGTTTTGCGATGAAAAGTCACTTAATATACTAATCCATGGGTTGACACAAATGGAGGCATTAATTGACTTAAACCTCACGTATTATTACTGTTACGACGAGTTGATTGAGTTAATACCGAAACATTTGAGACTATTATCCCAAAAATTACCTAAACTTAAGAGATTTTCACTTGATTTCTGGATCAGAGTGTCGGACAGGGATGACGAGCGACTGGTCACTGAAATCAGTGATAGTATCGGGAAATACATGAAACATATGAAGCGTTTGGAAATTAGCCCTTATTTTCACGAATCACTCGTCGATTTCAAACGGTTAACACATTTAACGCTAAACACGGGTTTAACTCCTTATAAGCCGTATCCGCAGCCAAACGACCAGTTTTTCGCTAATATGGCCACAAATATGCCTCGCATTCAGTCATTGAGTATTGAAAACATCGACATAACTGATGAGATACTGAACTCATTGGCAAACGTCAAGAATTTACAAACCATTGAATTCGTTGAAAGTAAACAATATTTTAGTATTGATTGTGTCGAGGATTTCAAGAGAAAATGTCCTAAAATTAAATCATTTGTTGTGAACGGAGAACAAGTTTTCTCATTAAAACCAAATTTTTATGATAGCTTAGGTGAAACATGTAATGAAAATGACCACGATTATGATTTATCCATATTTTTTGATTGAATTGATAATTAATATTGTTTAATATTGTGCTAAAATACTTAAGAGTAAATTACAATATATATTTTTAATTGAATCTATAATTTTATTTTTATTATAATTAAGATTTTATTTGAATATTTGTTATGAATTGTCAAAAAAAGAATAATTAATTTTTTAAACCCTAAATAAACAAATATATTATAAACAATAAATTTTTATTAAAAATTATCGTAAAATAAATTATGTTTAACTAATGACTTCTACTCTAGTGGTGGATAAGTATTGATTGCATTTCATTGTATGACTACTTCTTGCGGCCATTCCTCGCCTTTTATGCGACAATATTTTGCTATCAATTGAATGATAATTTATGGCATGAATTGAGTGTT